GAACAGGATGGATCAGCTCTATATTTTGTTCAACAGGACTGCAACATAGAAAGATGCTATAAAGTCCTTGATGAAATAACAGAAGAGCAGCTGCATGGACTATATTTAAATTAAGGAAAATAGTTATAAGGAGAGAAAAATTAATACTCAACCAGCCATTGGATACATTTCATTTGGGGATTTTTTTAATGGAGAAAAACAGATTTATATACCTAGACTACTAAATTGATTTTTCTAATTGATTTAGAAGGAAATTTAACATTCTTTGAAAAATTTTCATGGTCTATTTAAACCCAATTTCTTTAAAAAAGAATTGAAATAACCAAGCATGCCATCTTCTATTATGTCTAAGGTATAATGCTCTCAGAACTAGGGCAGACTGCGATGTTTGCAACAAGGTCATGTAGAAACAGAGTGTGGAATGGAGAGTCCCTGGACATGAGTCCCAGCTCTTCTAGTGACTGAGTGACTGATAAAACTGTACCTAGTTGAGTCGCAATTTCCTTACCTCTTTAAGTTCATTAGGTTATTGAATTTGCAGGTTGCTGTATAAATAACATGAGCTAATGTACACTAAATTTGTTACCCCTTTTAGCCATTTAATACATAATAAATCCTATGATAGATTTCCTTACTCAACATTCATGTAATACCATTACTTTCAGTAATACCATTTTCATAATTTTCTAATAGTTTATATTTTTAATCAAAAACTTGAGGAACTGATTTGATCTTATTTTTCCTTACTTTTCATTAAAAGGAAACACATATAGCTTGGTATTTCTAGCCTCTAGCTCTTAAAAAAGAAATCAGGTATACATAAACATGACTATTTCTAATTTCCTAAAATATTTAATAAGGAGCCTTGCTTAAAGAATAGCTTGGTTAAAGCTGTTAAACCACCTACTATATCTTTATCACTCTTCCATTTCCTACACTGAATTCAATAAATGTGCTAATCACACATGATTTGGAAAAAAATGCATTTCAATAAAAAACTAACTTCTTGTTCTAGAGATGAGACAAGAGATATCAAGGTTTCCTAGAAATTATATGGATAAGAGGATTTGAGTAATTTAAATAAACATGCTATCATTTTACTGACATGCAGAATACAGTGACAGAGATTTGTTAAAAAAATTCTCATATGTCACCAGTTTAAATTCTAAGAGAACATTATTTTAATATGTGTTTATTATCATTTAACTAATGCATGCATAACTTACAAGAACAAATCTTTTGCTTCTATTTGGAGTCTACTAATTGCTTAATATTTTTATTAAATTTGATTTTATAAAACACAGTATTTGTGTATAAATAAAATTTGGAAGTCAATTTTCATATCAATGGTTCCTTTACACACGATTAAAACTTCACATAGCTGAACAAGTTATGCATGAAAAATTTGAAAAATCTTAGTTATTCTCCAGTTTGAAAAGAGAGGTAACTTTTTTTTCTTTTATTATTCATATGTGCATACAAGGCTTGGGTCATTTCTCCTCCCTGCCCCCACCCCCTCCCTTACCACCCACTCCACCCCCTCCTTCTCCCCCCTACCCCCTCAATACCCAGCAGAAACTATTTTGCCCTTATTTCTAATTTTGTTGTAGAGAGACTATAAGCAATAATAGGAAGGAACAAGGGTTTTTGCTGGTTGAGATAAGGATAGCTATACAGGGCATTGACTCACATTGATTTCCTTCTAGGTTAATTCTTTTTGATCTAACCTTTTCTCTAGTTCCTGTCCCCTTTTCCTATTGGCTCACTTGCTTTTAAGGTATCTGCTTTAGTTTCTCTGTGTTAAGGGCAACAAATGCTAGCTAATTTTTAGGTGTCTTACCTATCCTCACCCCTCCTTTGTGTGCTCTCACTTTTATCATGTGTTCAAAGTCCAATTCCATTGTTGTGTTTGCCCTTGATCTAATGTCCACATATGAGGGAGAACATACGAGTTTTGGTCTTTGGGCCAGGCTAACCTCACTCAGAATGATGTTCTCCAATTCCATCCATTTACCAGCAAATGATAACATTTCTTCTTCTTCATGGCTGCATAAAATTCCATTGTGTATAGATACCACATTTTCTTAATCCATTGTCAGTGGTGGGGCATCTTGGCTGTTTCTATAACTTGGCTGTTGTGAATAGTGCCGCAATAAACATGGGTGTGCAGGTGCCTCTGGAGTAACCTGTGTCACAGTCTTTTGGGTATATCCCCAAGAGTGGTATTGCTGGATCAAATGGTAGATCAATGTTTAGCTTTTTAAGTACCTCCAAATTTTTTCAAGTGGTTGTACTAGTTTACATTCCCACCAACAGTGTAAGAGGGTTCCTTTTTCCCTGCATCAAGAACTTTCTCAATGAAACCCCAGCAACTAAGCAACTAAGAGATAGCATAGATAAATGGGACCATAAAGCTAAAAAGCTTCTGTTCATCAAAAGAAATGTCTCTAAACTGAAGAGAACACCCATGAGAAAATATTTGCAAATACATCAGACAAAGGACTGATATATAGGGAACTTAAAAAACTAAATTCTCCCAAAACTAATGAACAATAAAGAAATGGGCAAGTGAACTAAACAGAACTTTCTCAAAAGAAGAAATTCAAATGGCCAAAAAACACATGAAAAAATGCTCACCATCTCTAGCAATAAAGGAAATGCAAATTAAAACCACGCTAAGATTCCACCTCACCCCTGTTAGAATAGCTATCATCAGCAACACCACCACAACAGGTGTTGGCGAGAGGTAACTTTTAAGCTCACACAGTTACTAGGTTCTGAATCCTAATGCATGGATTTAGCGTCTAAATATAATTCATATCAGGAAAGTAAAGTTGAGAATTCCAATGTATCTGAAATGTCTCCTTTGTATGTCACCCAAAGTGTATTTTAGTGGATTCTTTTAACAGGCTACCAATTACTATGTTCTGGAAAACTTTTTCCATATTTCTTGCACATATTCCTTATCTGAATAATTCTTATTTGTCTCTGATCACTATAGTGAAATTTTTATACATATCTACCGAGTCTTATGTGTACATGAAGGAGAGAGAGGGGAGAGATAGATGGATTGCTAGGTAGATAGATAGATGATAGAAAGACAGAGAGATAGAGAGAGAGAGGAGGAGAGAGGAGGGGAAGGAAGGAGGGAAGGAGAGAGAGAAAGACTGAAGCAGAAAGAGCATGGGAATTTTAAGCAGAGAACTATTTTCATGATATCTAAACTATATACTAATCATATAAATGTTGTTTACTTCTTCAAAATGCTTTTAAATCAGTATAACATTTTAAGGAAATTATAAATTAGTATGAGGGGTGTGTGTTCTTATGAATATTGGATAGGCAGTCTGTATTGAAAAATCTAGCAGAATTTAATATGGCTATGTATTTTTTACTGTAAAATTTTCTAAGAAACTAATTAGCACAAACTCTTTTGCTTTTGTTCTATAGACCTACATTAATCAATGCATTTATTAAATGTACCAGAAAAATCTTTCAAATATATTAGGAAAAAAATGTTCAGGATTATAAAAACAAGTGGCTTTCTTGCCTCTCTATCAGTCCTTTCAATTTTTTTTATTCTCATCTTGATATCAGTGTTTCAATATTACTAAACAGTAGCATGTTTCATACCATGAATATGAGTCATCCACATGTCACTGAATTCAGGTCAGAATTCAAAGTTTTCATACCTTTGAAAGTCTTTGTCTATAACATGCTGAAGGAAACACAAGTGCCCATGATAAAACTTTCTTCTGAAGTACAGGGACACAGCATTTAATTATGCTTCAGTAACTAAGGTTTGTGTTTAGAAAGAGGAGTATCTTTTACTTTTTGTTCATTGCATTATAGTTACTCATATAAGTCCCTAATTTTTTTTTTGGAATGTGAAAAATTTTAAAACCTTCAGGAAAGAAATCCAGAAATGAAATAAAATTTTATGACAAATATAGTGATTTTATTATTTTAGCAATACCTATGATAAATACTTTTATTACCTATTGTCAAGTGACATTTATTTCATAATGTATCATAAATTCTATGAAAACTGAAATACATTATGAATGTGCATGATTTATTTTTTTGAGAAAAAAAATGTCTCAAACTAAATTTGATTGTATTGAAGGTAAAGTGAGCAGGTAAGATGAGAAATATCTAACACAGTTGTTAAGTTACATTTGCAAAAACAATAGTAATAAAGTTAGCTACTAATATCAGGCAAGGACAACTTAATGGTATGCATTTTAAGAAAAAAATAAAATACATTGCATAGTTGTTTTTATATTTGTGGGCTTATTTTTGGTTTGTTTTTGGCAAGAATGTGAATCTATTTTGAAGATATAGTGTCCTTTTCTATTTCTTTTCTATTTATTGGGAAAAGGTAGTGGCCAGAATTAAAACCTAAGTGCTTCTGTTTAAACTTTCATGTGACAACATTAAATGTATGCCTAGTACCTCATTTTCTGGACATATGAGAATATTTTAAATTTAAAAAATTTGTCATTTTTTTCTTACTTCTCTTTAACACAATCTTATGATATGTTTGATTACTCCCATTGTAACAACTTCAAATATTAAGAAAGGGAATTTTATGTAATTTTTAGCAAATGTAGGAATACTACTCAGGTGTGCTCTTTCCACAATGACATTTTTGGATTTAAACATCACTGTATTCACTAATCTTTGTGAGCTTTAAGATGAGATGAAGTGTACTATGAGAATTGGTGAAAGAAATTTGACAAAACAAAATTGTAATAAAAATTATGAAAATTGGTGCAATATTTTAACATTTAAAAGCAAACAATAAATGTATTAAATCATTTCTTAATTCAACTTATACAGCAAAATGCATCTGTTTGGGTCAAATTACCTTTTCACTTCCCATCTCATTACCACTGATGTAATCATCATGTCATTCAATGAAACACAGGTGAGGACATAACTGGATGGACTCTATTAACACAGAAAGTTGCTGCTAGAACTCATAAGTGAAAGCTGAGATGGAAAGATTGTCATCAGAGTTGGATGTACTCAAGATTTGGTTGAAGAACATAACTGAAGCCACCATGTTTATGCTGATGGGCTTCACAGATGACTTTGACCTACAAGTCTTATTATTTTTATTATTTCTTGTAATCTATCTTTTCACTTTTATAGGAAATTTGGGGCTGGTTGTTCTTGTCATTGGGGAGTCCCGGCTCCACAACCCTATGTACTATTTTCTGAGTGTTTTATCATTCTTGGATGCATGCTATTCTACAGTTGTCACACCAAAAATGTTCGTCAATTTCCTAGCAGAAAAGAAATCCATATCATATCATGAATGTGTTGCACAAATGCTTCTCTTTGTTTCTTTTGGGAGCACAGAATCATTTCTCTTGGCTGCAATGGCATATGACCACTATGTAGCCATCTACAACCCTCTTCTCTACTCAGTGAGCATGTCACCCAGAGTCTATGTGCCACTCATCATTGTCTCCTATGTTGGTTGCATTTTACACGCTACTGTACATACAGTGGCCACGTTTAGCCTGTCCTTCTGTGGATCCAACGAAATTAGGCATGTGTTCTGCGATATCCCTCCACTACTTGCTATTTCTTGTTTGGACATTCGCATAAACCAGCTTCTACTTTTCTACTTAGTGGGTTCTATTGAAATACTCACTATCCTGATTGTCCTAGTTTCCTATGGTTTTTTTCTGTTGGCCATTATGAAGATGCATTTTGCTGAAGGCAGAAGAAAAGTGTTTTGTACATATGGGTCTCACCTAACTGGAGTGTCTATTTATCAAGGAACCATCCTCTTCATGTATGTGAGACCAAGTTCCAGCTATGCCTTAGAGCATGACATGATAGTGTCCATATTTTACATAATTGTGATTCCTATGCTCAACCCCATTATCTACAGTTTGAGGAACAAAGATGTAAAAGAAACAGCCCAAAGACTTGTAGAGAGGTATTGTTTTATAAATAAAGTATGGGATTTAGAATAGGGTAAAGCTAAAAATAATGTTGAGTACACTTCTCCAGAAGATAAGCCCTGCTTTTAGTTAATTAGTGCAATGTATTTTAGAATGTTTCCAAATAAAACACTAATCAATTCTCAAAAGCAGGATTTTATGTATAATGTAAATGAAAAATGGTATCTGTTTAAACTATTCCAGGAATGGGGAGAGGGAATAAGAGAAAATGGTGGAGGGGGTGAATTAACTATGATATATTTGAGATATTGTAAGAAATTTTGTAATTGCCACAGTGTACCCTTACCCAGCACAATAAAAAAATTCAAAAATGTATATAAATTGTTTCATATATCTTAATCAATATGTTCAAAGAGATCCATATTCAATATTTCTTGATATAAATGTATTATTGATATTCATTGTGTAATTTGTTTTTCACCTGTTGTAGAAAACTTTGTATCCATACTTCACATGTAGTAAGTTCAACAAAATTACTGTGTTCATCCTCATTGTTGAATCTTTGTGAAGGACCTCCTGAATGTTATTTTATTTTCTCTCCTTACCATTGTATTAATATCCATACAAGTTTTTGGACATGGCATTTTCCCTGTTTGACTTACCATTATGTAGCTTAATCCAACATTAAAATCCTTGGCTTTGGCCCATCATGGAATGTGATGACATCTACTTCTCACCTTCTTTAAATACAGTGATAGTGAGTTGTAATACTCATGGAGAATATACTTAAGTATCTGAATATATAATAATAGTATAACTTAGAAATTATGCTGAAACTAAATATAGCTGTTATAGAAAACAGTATTGGAATTTCTCAAGAAAAATAAACATTGAACTAATATGACACAGCTATCCCCTTGCTGGGAATGCATACAAAGAAAATTAAAAAAACATGTCAAATGATGCACAATGCAAAAAATGTGGTGAATAATAGGTACAATTGAAATGTAGTCTGTATTTGAAAAAATGAAATGCTGCCATTTAGGCTAACATGTTACAATCTAGAAGACAGTATAATAAATTTAAAAGTTAGGCAAAGGAAAAAAATCTGCATAAGCTCCCTTTTATATGGGATCTAAAACAAAGTTGAATTCATATTAGAGAATAAAGTAATTGTTGCTAATCCTGAGGGCACAGGAATAAAGTTGAGAAATTGCCAGTCAAAGCATATGAAGTTTCAGATAGATCTCATTTGGAGATCTATTGTGCAGCAGGTAGATTACAGTCAATAATTTATGTTTAAAAATAACTAATAAAATAAATTCCCAATGCATAATCACCAAAACTATTAAAAGATGTGATAAGTATGTTAATTAACTTGATTTAATCATTTCACATTACATATATGTCAAAACTTCACATTGTATTCCATAAATGTTATACAATTATGATTTATTAGTGAAAGCAGTATGTTTTAGATCATGCAAGAAGAAAAAGACAGAAACAACTGCCTAAAGTATATGGGTGTGTTTAGTTCTCCAAAGATAGACTAATTTTGGGAATTTTTATGTTTTTTGATCAGTTCCTTTACTCTCTATCTATGAGAAATGACTGAGGCATTTTCATCATTTTGCAAAGTACAGTCAATTAGCAAGGACTACAGTTTTCACTTGTGGTGAATAAAGATTCACCACAAGTCACATCTGCTTTGCTTCATTTATTCTGTTTTATTCATTTTTGTTCAAGATGTGTTTACATGAACAGACATTCAAAATAGATGTCCACTTTTCTTCAATGAATATGCCTTCTTCCCTCCAGGAGCATATGTCCTGTTACTTCACCAGAAATACCCTATTAGGTCACAGTATTCAATATAATTTTTCTTTCAATACTTTCAACCTGAAGTATCAGTTTAAGATACAAGTCAAAAATTTTCACATCTCAGTTTCTGAACATTCCAATAAATTATGGAAAGAAGATACAAATATCTAGTCCAACAAACAAATTTTTAAGTTTCCTCTTAAAGAAAAAACAAAAATACTTGTTTTTATAGAGACAGAAACTGAGTACATGTGGGTATAATTTTATCTATAAAAGATCACACTATTCAAAAGTACACATTTTACAATTTACTTTCTTGTTTATGATATTTTGCAGATAATTTTCTGAAAGGAAGGAACAATTTACTTACAAAATATTTTTTAAAAGTCACTCATATCTTACAAAATGCATGTAGGATTCCAAGGAGCTGTTCATTTTTTACTCATACAACTCAAATCAGGGTTTCAAATATTGCTAAGGCAAGCTTGTTTCCTGGCTTACCAGTTTCATTTACCATTGCTATGTTTCACAGTATTAACCATTCTCTGAGAGAAGAAGAGCTAACACAGGAGCAAGGGATGCACTAGTAGGCCATTCAGGAATTGCATTAAGAACTGATATTAAGTTAATCTTCATGGAACTTTCACTGCCCCTCTTTTTATTCTAGTAAAATAGAAGTCAAGTGGTAGAAATTTTTTCTTGATCTTTGTTGAGTCAATAAAATAAAAAGTTACATCTAAATCAGAAGTTAATAATTGTTTGTGCTTTGTATTTTAGCTCTTGCCTTATCCTCAAAGAAAAATGCTGTACTTCCCTTAATCTCATGAAGTTAAGGTTATGGCTCTGACCACTGTCATTTGTTATGGACACTGTGATTATTATCATAACATATGGTTGCTGGTTAAATCTGTTACTATACCGATTCTGTAACTGCATAACAACCGGCACTGTGTGTGTGCTCTCATGATTGTATATAGCATATAACTTATTACCTGGAAGGTAAGTTTCACTGAGAAATTATTTATTCAATGAGCAGGAATTCAATGAATAATTTTTGATTAATAACAAATGTTAGCCACATATACAGATTATTAAGTATGGAAAATATATATGTATAAATTATGTTAATTCATGTAATCATCATAGCTACTGAAAAGGATGCTGTAATATGATATGTTATGAGAAATTAAAAAATAGTGGCTTGTAAACCTAAATAATTCATTAAAGGGCCCATAGCTTCTATCAGTGACAGCAGCATCAAGCTTAATTATCTTAGCTATGAAATTCTTGTGTTTAAGTACTTTGATACATGTGATAAAAACAATATTTTCACTCCCTTATTTAGCTTCTAGACATACTTTTTGAAGTATTGAAGGTATAATTAAGTCAATGACTGCAAAAGAAAAAGAAGCATATTTGAAACTATTTGAAAAGTGATTTCAATTCAACTGAAAAGTATTTTGGTTAAGAAATATGAAATTTACAGATTTTGGGCTTGAGTGAATATAAAGTTATGAAGAGGAGTAAGAAAGAAAAAGAAGAGAAAAAATAATAGAAAGATGAGGAGGAAGAAGAAGAGGACAAGAAAATTGCAAATGAGCAGAAAACCTACAGTGATACTGAGATTCCATTATATTACCAAGGAGCAGAAGTAGTATCCAGTAGAAGTTGCACCATGGAGTGTACAGTGATCAGGGCAGGAGATAATTGAAGTTGTAGCCCTGGCTAGGATTTAAAAACCTATATATCATTCCACTGCAGCTTAGGAGGCAGAAAGTTGAAAATGATATTATTTCTACTGTGGCAATTTAACAGATAACTTACCAAATAATATATTTACCAGATAATGAATTTATCAGAGATGTAAGGTTGCAAACCTCACAGTAATATCAATCCCAAATGGGGGCAAGTTCTTCAAATAGGAGATGGGACATATTAACTATTTGACTTAGCTATTTGATTTTTAGCAAATGGTAGAAGAAAGTGTAATACTATGCAAGGAAGAAGTGAAAAATCATGTAACATCAAAGCATTGTTAAACCAAACCAAATGTGACTATGGGAAAAAGAAACCTGGAATGAAAAGGTTTATATTTACTCCCAAGATATTCTCTGCAAGTCTCTACCAATTGCTTATGAGAAAGAATAACAATACCAAGACGTTCAAATGCAGGTGTTTTTTGGAGGTCTTTGCAAAAGAGCTTTGGCAGGTATTGGATTAGAAATTCTAATAAAGAAGTTGAACACCATACATGGTTATGTGTGAAATTTTTTCAGAAGTTGAAATGCTAAGAAAGTGTCTAAAAAGCCCTAGAAATAAACACACATGTTCAAACTCATGATTGTTTTGACAATTAATTCTGAGTCTCAAAGTAAAGTAATACAGATGAGAAAAGAATCTTTAAACTTAAAGACAAAGAAATATAAGTTGAATAGATAAAGAAAAAGAGAAGATAGAATTAAAAATCCCAAGAACTGGGGAACTGTGATTCAAATATACATGTAGCTTGAGACAAGAATAAAGAGAGACTGGAGCAGAAGAAATTTTATTTTAAGATATAATGACAAGGAGAGAACACATATGGGAGATACAGGAATAGGTAGAAAACCCAAAACATGAAAGCGTTTGATGTCCCCACTCCAGAGGAACTAATATAGAAAACTTAAAGCAACAGAGGTTAACATGAGAGGGGGATCAGGTACCAGTGTAAAGATCGGTTAGAGATGAATCAACATGGGTTATAACACACTTATACATGAAAGCAATGCCTGGAATCTCTCTGTATAGATATCCTTAACTCAACTAGCAAAACTGCTTTGGCTTCCTTATTATGCTTATGTCTTTTTTTCAACAAAATAGAAATAAGGCCAGAACAGGTTCTGCCTGGAAATGAGGAGGGGGAGGAGGGGCAGAGAGTGGGGGGGGAGAGAAGAGGGAGAAATGACCAATGTATACACAAGTGAATAAATGAATAAAAAAAAATTGCCATGGGAAACAGTGATGTGAATAGAAGCTAAAGGGAGGTTGAGAGAAAACTTTTTTTATAGGTGAGGGAAGAACTGAGTGGAAATAATAAAAATGTTGATATATATGATGAAGTCAACATATTTTTATTTAATTAAGAGTGATTAGAAAAAACACCAGCACAATACATATACAATTTTTGGCATCAGTTCAGTACACACTTTGTATAAAATTAACAACAGAATTTGAGAATGATAACATGTACGTATCACCCAGCTCCATGATTAAATGCCAGGTATGATGTTAGGTTACTCTTAAAAGTTTATTGCTCTCTTAAACAGCAATAATTGTAATTGTCCATGTTTGTTCAGGAAGGTTTATCCAAGCATGCTGAGTAAATATTTGAAGCCATAGAGATTTAAAGCAATTTCTTTTAAATATGACATTTTGGTTTATAAGTCTTATATCACTGTATTAGTAACTGTTTAAAATCAGAAATATCTTTTCTAGAATTTAATTATATGCTGACATTAAAAGAAAAGTAATAGTTTAAATAGATCACTGAAAAATTTATGTGACCACATCTTTGATCCTGACTACTTTGTAATAAGATATTTTATTAATAACCAGTATTTGAACATTATCCTGTCAGGACTAACTCCAATGACACAATTGAAATGTTAAGAAATTTCCTGTGATGAGTCTGTCTGAGGGGACTATGGGAGGTAGAAGAGGGAATAAAAATATTAGAGAATGCAAAATATTGAAAAAATCTGTCCATGTGTGAATATAATATGATACACTGTACTGTTAGCTATTGATTATTAGAGGAGCATGTTGATAGAGGATGAGTAAGTTCGAAAGTGTGGGGTAAATTTCTCTGTGCCAAATAAATAATTTTTTCTGTGATGTCCTTCTATTGTATGCTACACATAAAATTCCTTCAGTTTGTGTGTACTTCCTATAGAAATGGTAAGCCATTAGATTGTATAATAAAGTTTAACTGGAGAGACTTTTTGTGGCATTAAGGTATTCAAATATTTTTCTCTTTCTTTAAAAAAAATGCTATCCACCCTCCACAGATTTTCCTTGCCATATCAGTCAAAAATAAATTTACAATATACATATGAATCTGTTTCTGAATATTTTACGTGTTCTATTGATTGAGGCATCTTGTTTTTAGCCAATACCTCTTACTCCTGATTATTTAGCTTTCATGACAAGATCTGAAGTGAGAATATTTGTGTATACCAAAGTTATTCTTGGATGTAGGATCCCCCAGAAATATTCCATATATGTCCTTAAGATATAAGAAAAATTCTATATGACTTAAAATATTTGAAATTTACCTTTGACAGAGCTCTAATATTACAAGTTATCATTGTGCAGAATATTGTGACCTGTGTACTGCCTCTCCTCTTTTATCAATACTTCTTATACTTATATTCATATCTTCACTCTTCTATTAAACTTCAATGAACACATATGTATGTATATTTCACGTTCTGTTTAGAAGCATAGCATTTTCAAAGTAAATTAGTAAATGTACTTAAAGATTACAGATTCTATTATATTACAGTTCTGTAATATTTCATTATGTATGTCTTTGTAGGAATTCTAGAGAATGCATTGAATATATTCCCAGGAAGAAGAAAGTGGATTCAGAGAATTTATCAATTCAATATTACACAAGTAATTAGTATTAGAGTGGGGAGCTTCCAAGATGGCACTTAGAGGGAGGAAACAGAAAGCATGCCTCCTAAAATGAAATCTTGGAGAGACGCTGGAGACACACCTTGCAGGCAAAACCACTGAGAAGAGGCAAAACTTTGACCCCTCCACACTTCCAGCTGGTGCAGAGAATCTCCACTTCACGTTAAATGGAGAAACCAGGAGGGCCCCGGGGCCACCAGTAGCCCACACCCTGACTGCTTGGGAAGAGGTGGACAAGGTGAGCTAAGCAGTATGCGGTACTCCCACAGACAACCCTGGGCCAGAGCAGCATAGTCCTTTGGACAGACTGACCTCCACCTGGAGAAAAAAAAGAAACTGAGTAATAAGCAATAAGAACAATAAAGACATGCGAGAAAGAGGGTGGGGCACATTGAGCGCCAAAGATTGGAGGAAGGGAATCCTTCCCAGAAATGTAAATAAACAAGCCAGGCAGGCTGGAGAGGCTCAGGTAGGAGTAGTGGTGTGCGCCCAGCAACCAGGAGTGGGAAAACTTATGAGAGTGGCAGAGGGAGGAAAACTCCACAGGAGAGAGGGAAAGACCCACTTCCCATGTGAGCTGAGAAAGCAGGTGCTGTGTAACCTCCCCCACTGTGCTTGGAAAGGGGAAAGCTTGTAGCAGAGGCTCACACACAGGAGAACTCTGAGTAAACAAAGCCTGCAGGGCCAGGTGAGTGCTAAGCTCACCCCTGAGATCTTCATAAACAATGCCTCCAGCAACAGCAGGCGAACAGCAGCAGGCAGGCAAGCCACAGCCACAGATACCATTCACAGAACTGTCTCTCCAGACACTTTTTTTTCTCTCTCCCTACCTTTGATGAGAAAACAACTGAACTACACCTACATGCTGGAAAACTTACAGAAACTGTATTGCATTTGAACTTCGGACACTTTGTGGGTTTTTTTTGTTTTTTGTTTTTTCGTTTTTGTGCAGTTTTGTTCTACTTTATGCATCCCCTTTGATGAGACAACTACAGAACAACATCTGTGGCACCATCTCGAGGATTGGAGACTGAGACAGACCCCAAAATTATTAAGACTGAAACTTCATTTCATTTGAACTTGGAGTTTTTTATTTATTTATTTTTTTTTTATTTTCTATTTTTCATTTTGTTTTATTTTATTTATATATACATTACTTTCATTTACTTATTTTTATTTTTATTCTTATCTTTATTCTTTTTATTTTTTTATTTTCAATCCTCTCTCTGTCTCTCTAATGCCTGTTCACCTTACTGTCATTTAGTACACTAATGCTCCCTGTTTATACCTTTGAACCTTTCTTGTTTGATGCCTTGTTTTCTTCTTTCCTACTTGTCTGTTTGTTTTTCCCTTTTCTTTAACTTCTTGCTTTCCATCTCCTCTCACACTTCCATTCTAATGTTACCATTGTTATTAATACAAGTTAGAAAATACTTAATTGCACACAGTACAGGGACAGTAACAACACCAAGGACAATGATGGGAAGACAGAAAAAAAAAAGGAAACCAGTTTCCCCACAGCAAAAAATTACTACAGGAACCAGAGAGGAATGAAGAAATCAGATACTCAGATCCAGACTCCAACAAAATGAAGATAAACTATGCCAAAGAACCCAATGAAGCCCACAAGAATAATTTAAAAGAAGACATATGACAGGTACTCAATGAGAATTTTATAGAGATGATACTGGATATGGTCAACAAAAATGTACAGGAGACACTCAAGAAATTCCAAGACAACAAAAATAAAGAATATGAGAAAGCAAAAGAAGAAATAAAGGAAACCATAGAAGCACTGTATAAACACCAAAGTGAAACAGAGAACAAGATTAATAAACAGAAAAATGAACTCAGGACAAAAATAGACAACATTAAAGAGGAAACCACCCAGGATATGGAAAACCTCAGAAAAAAGAATGAAACAGAACTGCAAAACAAAACGGAAGGCCAATGCAGCAGAATAGAACAAACAGAAGACAGAATCTCAGAACTTGAAGATGAAATGGCAATTAAAGGAAAAAACAAAGAAATATTAATTAAACAACTCAAAATCTGTAACATAAAATGAAATTGAAGCAGCAATAGAGTCTCCCCAAAAAGAAAAGTCCACAACCTGATGGATTCGCTGCTGAATTCTATCAGACCTTTAAAAGAGAACTGATACCAACCCTCCTTAAACTTTTTCATGAAATAGAAAGGGAAGGAAAACTGCCAAACACGTTTTATAAAGCCAGTATTACACTTATACCAAAACCAGGCAAAGACACCTCCAAAAAGGAGAACTATAGGCCAATCTCCTTAATGAACATTGATGCAAAAATCCTCAACAAAATAATGGCAAACTGAATTCAACAACACATCAAAAAGATTATTCACCATGACCAAGTAGCCTTCATCCCAGGAATGCAGGGGTGGTTCAACATATGAAAATCAATACTTGTAATAAACCACATTAACAGAAACAAAGACAAAAAACACTTGATCTTCTCAATAGATGCAGAAAAAGACTTTGATAAGATCCAACATCATTTCATGATAAAAGCTCTAAGAAAACTAGGAATAGAAGGAAAGTACCTCAATGTTATAAAAGCTATATATGACAAACATACAGCCAGCATTATACTTAATAGAGAAAAACTGAAACCATTCCCTCTAAAATCAGGAAGTAGACAAGGATGCCCACTGTCTCCACTGCTGTTCAACATAGTACTGGAATTCCTAGCCAGAGCAATTAAGCAAGAAGAAGGAATAAAAGGAAAACAAATAGGTAAAGAAACTGTGAAAACATGCCTATTTGCAGATGACATGATCTTCAAGACCCAAAAAACTCTACTCAGAAGCATCTAGACATCATCAATAGCTACAGCAAGTTATCAGGATATAAAATCAACAGAAAAATCATTAGCATTTCTATACACTAACAATGAGCAAACTGTAAAAGAATGTATGAAAAAAATTCCATTTACAATAACCTCAATAAAATCACATACCTAGGTGTAAACCTAACAAAAGATGTGAATGACCTCTACAAGGAAAACTATAAACTTCTGAAGAAAGAGATAGAGGAAGACTATAGAAAATGAAGAGAGCTCCTATGCTCATGGATTGGTAGAATCAACATAGTAAAAATGTCGATACTCCCAAAAGTAATTTACATGTTTAATGCAATTCCCATCAAAATTCCAATGACATTCATTAAAGGGATTGAAAAATCTACCATTAAATTTATTTGGAAACACAAGAGGCTATGAATAGCCAAGGCAATACTCAGTCAAAAGAACAATGCTGGAGGTATCATGACAGCTGACTTCAAACTATATTACAAAGCAATAACAATAAAAACAGCATGGTACTGGCACAAAAACAGACATGAAGACCAGTGGAACAGAAGAGAGCACCCAGATAAGAAGCCAAACAACTATAACCAACTTCTCTTTGACAAAGGAGCTAAAAATATACGATGGAGAAATAACAGCCTCTTCAACAAAAACTGCTGGGAAAACTGGTTAGCAGTCGCAAAAAACTGAAACTGGATCCATGTATATCACCCTATACCAATATTGACTCAAAATGGATGAAGGATGTTAATATCAGACCACAAACTCTAAAGTTGATACAGGAAAGAGTAGGAACTACTCTGAAGTTAGTAGGTACAGATAACAACTTTCTCAATGAAACCCCAGCAGCACAGCAACTAAGAGATAGCATAGATAAATGGGACTTCATAAAACTAAAAAGCTTCTGTTTATCAAAAGAAATGGTCTCTAAACTGAAGAGAACACCCACAGAGTGGGAGAAAATATTTGCCAGCTGCACATCAGACAAAGGACTGATAACCAGAATATATAGGGAACTTAAAAAACTAAATTCCCCCAAAACTAATGAACCAATAAAGAAATGGGCAAGTGAACTAAACAGAACTTTCTCAAAAGAAGAAATTCAAATGGCCAAAAAACACATGAAAAAAATGCTCACCATCTCTAGCATAAAGGAAATGCAAATTAAACCACACTAAGATTCCACCTCACCCCTGTTAGAATAGCCATCATTAGCAACACCACAACAGGTGTTGGCGAGGATGCGGGAAAAAGGAACCTCTTACACTGTTGGTGGGAATGTAAACTAGTACAACCACTCTGGAAAAAAATTTGGAGGCTACTTAAAAAGCTAAACATTGATCTACCATTGGATCCAGCAATACCACTCTTGGGAATATACCCAAAAGACTGTGACACAGGTTACTCCAGAGGCACCTGCACACCCATGTTTATTGCAACACTATTTACAATAGCCAAGTTATGGAAACAGCCAAGATGCCCCACCACTGACGAATGGATTAAGAAAATGTGGTATCTATACACAATGGAATTTTATGCAGCCATGAAGAACAAGGAAATGTTATCATTCACCGGTAAATGGATGGAATTGGGGAACATCATTCGGAGTGAGGTTAGCCTGGCCCAAAAGACCAAAAATCACATGTTCTCCCTTATATGTGGACATTAGTTCAAGGACAAACACAAAAAGGGGATTGGACTTTGAGCACATGATAAAAGTGAGAGCACACAAGGAAGGTGTGAGGATAGGTAAGACACCTAAAAAATTAGGTAGCATTTGTTGCCCTTAATGCAGAGAAACTAAAGCAGATACCTTAAAAGTAAGTGAGGACAACAGGAAAAGGGGACCAGGAACTAGAGAAAAGGTTAGATCAAAAAGAATTAACCTATAAGGTAACACACACACACAGGAAATTAATGTGAGTCAAATCCCTGTTTCGCTATCCTTATCTCAACCATCAAAAAAACTTGTTCCTTCCTATTATTGTTTATACTCTCTCTTCCACAAAATTAGAGATAAGGGCAAAATAGTTTCTGCTGGGTATTGAGGGGGTCGGGGGGAGAAGGAGGGGGTGGAGTGGGTGGTAAGAGAGGGGTGGGGGCAAGGGGGAGAAATGACCCAAGCCTTGTATTTGTATGCACATGTGAAT